GGGCCTCAGTGGAGTTTGGGGCAGGGGAGCCTGGTGCCTGCGCGGGGAGCGGGGCGAGGAGCGAGCCTCACTTGTTACAGGGCGGTGAAGAAAGGAGGTGTCTGGGTGCTGGGCGAGGCGGGCAGCCCGCGGGGCACAAGGCACGGAGGAGGTGGAGTGAGACCAGCGCCTACGAGCTGCGGTGGGAGTCAGGTCCTCGCCTGGATCACAAGGCCCTTGACCTGCGAGTGGACCTTTCTCACGGGGGGAGCTGACTCTGCCCGTCGGGGTTGAGTGTGTATCTGCTACATGCTGTGAGATGCCCAAGAACTTGAAGGTGCTCAGGGAAGATGGGGTGTTGTCCCATCTTTGCTGTTAGGTACCAGAAATATGAAACACTTCCACGCAAGGCTGTGCATTTGTAGGGCCGGCTCTGCAGTGCAGGGTGTCCCTGTGCTTGGCTATTTTATCAGTTCTGCTGGGATTTGCAGAGAAGAATGCTCAGAGCGGTAGTAGCATAGGGGTTTTCTACTTTTTCCATATGTTTTATGTATGTGGGACTGGCATGCAAGGCCCCAGCAGTAGTTGTCAGTGTCTGTTTGCTGATAATGGCTCAGCATTGGTCTGACAGCTTTGCTGTACTACTAGGTTTTTGTGTAGGATCAGTTACAGTAATACTAAATCACTAATAATACTGAATTATCAATACAGTAAGCATTTTTGGGGGGAACAGAGTTGAAACTCCCTGTCTTTTCTTGCTGGTTTTTTTTTTTTTTGGTTTTTGTTTTGTTTTGTTTTTTGTAGACTGGCCTCCATTCCTGTAAAGAAGCAAGTGCCTCTGTGATAAATTCCCAATGCAGTTTTGATTCAGATTTATTGTTTGAATTGCTGAAGATGTCATCAGGCCTTACAGAGGATCAGAAGAGAAGAATTGAAGAGAATCGCCAGAAGGCTTTGGCTAGGAGAGCAGAGAGGCTAGCAGCCCAGAGAGGTGGACAGGTGGGGATCGCTGGACCTTGGGTAAAAGAACAGAGTCCAGGCAGTCGGGGAAACTTCAAGGAAGAAAACAATCGTGTCAGGTCCATTAGCCAGCATCAACAGAATCCAAACAGTCCTGTGGAGCAGAAGAGCTGTCTTCAGAAAGATTATAACCATTACACTGCAAACCAACAGATGACTGGTTCACATGGGGAGCAACAAAAGAATCGTTCAGAAGAGTTGGAACAAGCAAGTGGCATTAAGCAGTTCCCTACAACGGTCCCAGAGTCTCTGAGTTATTCCCATAAACGTTACTTGGATGCTGGGGGTCAGGAACGTGGACAGCAAGCTTTAATTAATGTTGGTGCATTCCAGCAGCCCAAATGCTACCCAGCTTTCAAAAACCCTACAGAACCATCTCATCCTAGGTTAATTGATAATGGGCACCCTGACGGTAGTAAAGATTTACAAAGTCAGAACAAATCTGCCATAAAATATGTTTCACCAATATCTTCTCAGAAAGACATGTTTCTGATAACCGGCTCTGCTGGTACAGGCTCTACTTTTGAAGCTGCCTCTTGCAAGAAAGCAAATACTGTTACCAGAGGAAAATGTGTGAAATACGGGGAAGACCGATTCCAGGTCGAAATAGGGTACAATGCTGAACTCATTGCTGTGTTTAAGAAGATACCAAGCAAAAGCTATGGTAAGAATTGATTGTTTGCTGTTATTTCTGAGTTACATTGGATCGAAGTTTCAGTGTCTTCTTAACTGTAGTTGCTGTATGCTCTTAGGAGTGCAGGTGTTGCTGAGGTGGAATACATGGTATTAACTGGGGACTGGAAAAGTAAAGACAGCTGAAATTAGAAATTCTGGGCATAAATAGCTTGATCTTGGATTTAGCTGAGCAATCGGAAATGCTGCTTTATGAACAGTGCTTTCAGAATTTTAGTGACGGCAGCTGGTCAGAGTCTTTGGGGGGTGAAGGAAGAGAAGTTATGAATTGGTATGGGAAAATGGGTCGCTTTAGCTGTAGTTCAGAGCTGATGAGCTGATTCTGTTAACTGGGTTACTGAGAGCAGTGGAGTCTCCACCTTTTAGCTTGCTTCTGATCTTTTCTCTCTGCCTTTCTTTGTTATATTCTACTTTTGTTTCCTCCATGTGTTGCTGCTCCCTCTGAATGGCTGCTGTGTTCTTCTTGTCTTAGTATTGACGTGCCCTATGGCTTTTTTAGTGTCATGTAGCTGTAGATTTGGGCATACTGTTTTTCAGGGGTGTGTTGCAAAGTTTGCATGAGTAGATTGAATTCTCTCCTACCTTGCATGAACATTTCACAATAGCACTTTTTTCTACCCCAAATGATTCATATTCTGCCCTATTTTAGATCCTGCTATGAAAAAATGGAATTTCAGCCTGGAAGATTACAGCAGTTTCAGTAAGTAAATGGGTTGTTGAATGATAAAAATTAATCCAAATCTTGACCCCCTTCTCCTGCCTTCCATAATTATTATTTAGCTTTGTTACAGTCTGGAGTAATAAAAGTAGTGCTACTCAACCGTAACGCCCATCTTTTAGGCATCTAGCTCATAACATTTTTCTGACACTTTGTATTTAATTAGAAATACCTTATTTTTTCAGCTATTCTAAATGCCAAGCATAGGTTTCACTTTTTCTACCGTCGCTGAAAATTGCAGCAACCAACAAACCTGATCACAGGAAAAAATTCTGCTGCGTAGGTGCTTCATGAGTCTGTATTGAGTCTTTTCCACTGGCTAATGTTCAATTTCTAGGTCCATTACTGTATTTTCTTTTTAAACAGCTTTTTTTTAAAAAAAACCCAACCCTTTTTCCCTGTTAATTTTGGGTGTCAGAAAAGGAAAAATGGTAATTCTCTGGGGATTTGAATGAGACTGAAAATGGATTTGCGTTTTTTTTGGCATAACAAGGATGGCTTTATCTTTTTTCTCTCCTGTCATTTTGTTCTGAAAAGATTGAGAGATGATAGAGGCAAATACTTCAGGTAAGCTTTTCAAAAGCACATTGTATTGAAGCAAGTGATAAATCACTATTGATTTCAGTGGGAACAGAATTAGGCCTGTGTTGAGCACTTTGAAAAACCCACAGTTGAGTGCTGGTATTTTAGCTTCCCATGTGGGCTGCCACACATTTATAATTTAAATGCTGCTGGTTTGCTTGAAATGTATCAAGTACAGATGAGAGCAGAGTCTCTGCACCAAGGAACTTGCAAATGAAGAGGATAGTTTTTAGAAATCTTTTTTTTTTTTTGCATTAAAGCTATCAAATATGTGAATTCTCTATGGAAAGTTCCTGTTGGTAGGGAAGACAGTATATCATCAACATTGAACAATGATAGCAGGGGAAAAAAATACCCTGAGAAAAAGGAACTGACTCTAAAGGGCCTTGGTTTTAAGTCTTATAAGTATAAAAACAATTATTGTAAAACTTCCCACTGTTAATTTTGTTTTTCTGAACAATATTGTCTTGTGTTATATTTCTTTCTGTGTACTATAAATTAAACATGCAGTCAAGCCTAGAAACAGATATTGAAATAAAAGTGTGAAGTATAGTGTTTTGATTTTGTGGGTTTTTTTCAATTTTGGTATTAGTTGTAGAGATGAGCTCTAACTATGCAATGCTGAAACGGTAGCATTTAAACTCTTTTGTTTGGTGCATTGGGAGGAGAAAGTCTAAATTGGTGGTGTCCTAGTCCTCTACTTCAGAAATTACTTTCTCTTGAACTTAAACTTCTTTGGAGCAGAAATCTCAGATGCTTGGGTTTATTCTGGAAGTCACTTATTTTAAAATAGTGGTGGATGAAATCTGAATGGTTTACTAACTGGTTAGGAAGAAAGTGTCCTCAGTTTGTTTCTTTTTCATATTCTCAAATCTTAATCATTGAACTTAAATTTTTTTAAGTTGTTGCATATCAGTAAGCTGGACTATTTAAGTAGAAACAGCGTGGGTCATGATGTGCGGCTTAGCCCTCAAAGGGTGAGATTCACCTGGGCTCACTCTAAGCAGCTACTGGATAGGGGAGGTTGCCTCTCTTTACAAATATATGGAGACAGAATGTACTTAGTGTTTCCGTGCTCTTGAGTCTAATGGGCTCTGGAGATGCTGGTGAATCCTTGTGTTGCTGTAGCACCTATGAGTTGGAGTCTTGGAGACGAAATTTATTATTTTGATGCTGTAAAAACACAAGAAACAAATCGTTGTTCCTTAACCATCACAGTTCAGCTATAATAATAAAGACAACATACGGGTGTAGATTGGCAGAGAGACACAGGAAAAAGTGGAACGTTTGTTCGTGTGGATAGCTGTGGTCCCAGGCTGACAGCTGTAAAATGCTGTGTCCCTTCTCCCCCCATGCTTTGGCGTCATGACAGAGGTGGTTGCTGGTGATTAGCAAGATAGGAGTGCAGATGGCTGGGGGGAAGTACACGTTTAACTGTAAGACACAGTAGAATAAAAGTGATGGACTTAAATTGTAACAAAGGAGATTTAGGGGTTTGGACTAGATTCCTTCCTGGTATCCTTCCTACAGTATTGTGAATATACAGCATTCCTCCTAGATGAGATTGTGTATCAGGCATTGACGTGAGGCAGGAGGCAGATATTTTTAGATTCTTTTCCTTTGCTGTTTGCAGAAGTACCTTCCCATCTTTTCAGGCACTACTGATCACCATGCCCCTGTCTCTGCAGCTTTTTAAGTGAAAACGCTGTGTGAATGTGTGCAGTTTACTGCTGAATGTGGTTCTGCAGATTGCCTGCCCTGGCCTAGGGAGCCATGTTTTGTGATTGCTGACAGAGGGAGCCTAATGCAGTGACAATGCTGGACAGACTCTTGTTCACCTACTGTCACTTGTTCCCTCTGCCCCTGCCGTATTCTGTGTGGAAAATCCCACCAACTTGCTCCTTCAGGCCATCACTCTCTGTCCCTGTGAGGGAAAGCAGGGAATCATCATTCCTTTTAAACTTGAAGATATATGGCTTGTTTGTCATTCCTTTGTCCCTTCTCTTCCGAAAGCATCCTGTGAATCTTCAGTTTATCCATGTTCTTTGTTATTAATTCTTTTCTCTATATCTCATGCTTTTCTCCCTAGTGGAAGCAGCAAATCAACTTTCGTCAGTAGTTCTGGCACCACTGGATGGAGAAAATGCAGTTGGCTTGGCATCCAGCTCTCGTTTCGTTGGCAGTAGGGTTGATGTGAATTCCCTCTTGAAGATGTGTAAGAACTGGAAGAAACCCTCAGCCTTTGTCAAAGGGAAGTGCATGCTGATTTCTCGCTTGCGGTTTGAGGTTGATATTGGGTATTCTGCAGAAGTGATTGGAGTGTTCAAACAGATGGATTCCAGAAATTATGGTGAGTCTCTGGTTATTTCTGCGTTATTCTAATGACGTTGTTGGGACTGCTCTTGGAGTGCTGTGAATGCTTCAGAGGAGAGAAATTGTGAGAGTACATCCCTCTGAAACAGCGTGAGGCGGTGGACTTTGGTGAAGATTTTGAGAGCTTCTGTATGTGGCGCTGTATCTGTGTCCTGCACTTTACTCCATGCCAGAACATGTCCTTTTCTGGGCCTGTTAGCCAAGGTGATGTTTCAGGACTCAGTGTGATTGCATTTACTGTTGAGGTGGGATGCACTGATAATTTGCCAGCAGTATGGAGGCCAGGCAGAAGTTCTTCTCTTTATTATTAAATGCAGTTGAACATTCTCATATTTCTCCTGGCTTACTGTGGTGTAAAATGGCAGCAACTGCCTGAGCAGATGAGTTTACCAGCAGCTTTACTGATGTTTTTGAGGCAAGTGGAACTGTAGAGCACTTTTTATGTTGACATTCAGATTTCAATAGTAAATACTGGTTTTTGCCACTGGTAAAGTGGGAAATGAGGCACGGAGCGATGAGGTGACCTGCACAGTGTCACAGTGGGTCAGTGACAGCATGGGGAACAAATCCTGGAACTCTTGTTCTTTGGGCAGGGCCCCACCTGGCTCATTGTGTCTTCAGCTGACTCTGAATTCACTGTAATCTTCACTTGAATTTGTAGGCAGGCGCTACCCAGGGATAAACTTACCAGACAAGGCTGGCATTCATGTTCATTTTGGGTATAAATGAACTGGGGAATTTCCTCTGTACCATCCTGAGCATGTCATCTGTAGGCTACAGAGGTACAGTTGAAAGTGCTTGTGTTACTGACTGAAGTCAGAGTTTGTGGGTTAGCAAATAGAAACCTTCATGCATATTCTTTGTCCCTTTTTGCAGTGAAGAGAAAGTGGTTGCTGAAATGCTTGAACAGGTGTGTTCGTTACAATGGTTCATTAGGGTAGCTGACCTCAGCTTGCTCCAGTGATAACACCACTTCTAGATATGTGCTCACACTTTTAAGTCTCCTTCAAACTGTTTGTTTAACATGAAAGCAAACAGAGGAGAACTGATGGCTGGACAAGGTAAGAATTCTTCTAAAGCAGTTCTGAAATGCAGGGAATATGAATGGATAGCCTTATTCTTACAGACAGAGAATTTAATCTTTTTTTGAAAGAGACTTATGACAGTGTTGCTTGTAACTATTGCAGATATGAACACCAGAAAGTGGAATTTCCTGCTGGAGGACTATCCCAAACTAAGTGAGTAGCTGCGTTTTCCTGGCTAGGGCTATTTTCTGGGGAGACAAATGAATTCTAACTTCATTTCTTGGCCTAAGCCTTTTCACTCTGGGGGAGATAAGTTGCTAATGAACCATGAAGCAGGTGTCTTCCTGTAATGTCAGACGTTTACACTGTTTGCCCAGACTCAAAATTTTATAAATGTGTGTTATTCATGGCAGTCCTTTAGGGGGCCCATTGGGAGGGTGTCTCTATTTTGTCAGATTCTGCGCTGAATTTCTCTGCCATTTCTTAGAGCACATGGATGCATTTACTATCACAAAGTTATTTTTTTATAACATGCAGCAGCTCTACTTGAACTAAGGAGTTGAAGGAGAATTGGTTCCTCTGTTCTCACTTGCCAAATTTGAAGACGTTGGCAGGGTGTTTGCCAGGCCTTCCTGTCCCTACAGCAGTTCTGTCTTACTGACTCTTTTTAGCTGTGCTCCGCTTGTCCTCAGTGCCAGCCTGCCTTGCTCCTTTTTGTGTGTGTATCCATTGGTAAAGGGGCACAGCCACCCCTTGCTTAGAAAACAAACACGTGTCAGGCTGGCTTACTTCCAGTTCTTTACGTAGTGTGCATGGTGTTGTGCTATTTCATTTCACACCCAGCAAATTTTGTTTTTCAGATCAGAGCGCTAGGTTTTCAAGTCAGCTGATGATTTCTGTAACAACCACTTCATCCACAGTTACAGTCTGGGTGGTGATTGTCTAACTGGTTTTGTTCAGCCTCATATGTTACTGCTAGTAATAATAGCTTTGAGACAGCACACAACTCTGAAGTTTTTAACTGATGTGCGAGGCAGGTTAGAATTCAGGTTGCTTCCATAGCTGAGTTGATTGTGTATGAGGCGAACAAGAACAATTGCTTGTTTCTCTTGCACAAGTGTGCAGATCTGCTTGAAGCAGAATTTCCTACTCTGCTAAAATGCTTTGGTGCTGATTGGATCCTTAACAGAAAGCTTAGCAAAACAATTTTTTGAGAGCATCGTATTTTCCTTTGCAAGTGGAATCTAAGCATGTAGTGTTGCTACAACATTCATTTCTTGGTAGAAGTTGACCAGCAGAGCCCTGCCTTTACGCATCTGTGTAATGCTGGTGAAAATGTGAATTGCTGCACTGAAATGTAGAGCGGTGGTTTGTTGTGGTTTGTTTTTTTTTTTTAAAAATGGATGCCACTTTACAGATTAATCCAGTCTCAGCAGCATGCTCCTAGCACATCTGCTTCTTAGTTTTTTACATTTGTTAAGTTTATAGAGTGCTTTGAGATGAATAGCATTACACAAGTCCTAAGTATTATTATTTATCATCCCAGCTGGCCTGCTGTGTTTGCCTTGGTACTCGTGTGAGGGTATGTGGCTGTGGAATTTGACTGGGGTAAGCTTCAGAAAGATAATAAACAAGGTGCTCTACATAAGTCCGTAGAAGGCGTGACTGAGTGTTTCAGAGCTGAAATGCTATTGCTCAGAGTAGTTTTTCTCCAGCATGGGCTCCCAGTTCCATGGGATACCGAAGCACATTTAATAATTGAGTATCTGCATGCTACTATGATGCATGTGTTAATAACATTAGTAATGGTTGTAGGGCTGAAAACCACATTGTGGGGACTTGTAGGAATGCCAGATCATGAAAATAAGTGAGTGTGTCTTGGGGGAGACAACTGTGAAACTCCAGGATTGGGATGTTGACAGGCCCTGATTTCAATGGGAGCTCTCTCTCTCAGTTTGCTAAAAGGGCCTTTTGTGCATGCCAAGGGCCTGATCCTGTAGCACGTGCTAGGCAGTCTGAGCAAACACATCATTTCCCAGCCTGTCACTCTTTCGGCCACGCTGCCTGGCAGTTGTATATGCTGCATGAAGTATTCAGAATCCCACTGATTTAAGGAAAGAAAAAAATAAAATCTCCGTAAATGTTCTTGCAGGGTGTAATTTGTGAGGGCATTTGAGGCTTCTAGCACGTGCCTTTTTGAGGAGCTGCATTCACTTTGTGCCTGTTCATTTACCTACGTCAATATAAAAAAAAAGAAAAAAAATCTAAAAGGCTGGTTGCCATTTCCAGCAGAGATATCTGTTAGTTGGGAACTGTTCGTAGAGGTTAATGTCTCTTTGCCTAGCTGCTCAGTCATCTTTACATAAAGGTCACTTCAGTAAAAAATGTCTGTTGGATGAATCATGGTGGTGGCAGATATATCTTAATCGTTCTCCCAGCTCATGTACAGAACAATAGCAACAGAATTATCAGTGAGCAAATTGTAGCAATTATGCTAACACATAGCTCAGTCTGTGAGTGTAATAACAAGCTTGTGCTGTACTTCGGGTGGAGAGTTCCTGCTATTGAAGAAGTATAAATTAAACTGGAGAGTTTAAAAAGTTTGGTCATTGCCCAACCACAAATGGAAATCTTTTCATATGTATATTTCTTGGAATTGCATTCCCCCTTCATATGGCAGGGGTCCATTCTGCTGCGTTCCTCTTGGGGATAACTGAAATGAAAATACCTAACTGAATTCTGGAGGTGCATTTACTGCTGGTATAGCGAGTTCTTATTTCAGTTTGCATAGCTCTGGTTATTTTTGCAGAGTTGTTTTATGTCTTCTTGACTTCATATACAAACCAACCACTAAATAAATAAATTAAAAAAGCTTCCTGCAATAAAGGATCTGTGCACATGCATTGTGTTCCTAGTGTAGAGGTGTATTTTTTTTTTTTTCTCAGTCAGTGGTTAAAGATTTATTACTAAAATGTTTTCCTGGTCCCAGCTCACTGCATGTCTTAAATTGGTATTTATTTATATGGAAACTTACTGTGGGACTGAAAATAAAGACTTTTTTGGGATGGGATAGAGAGGCTACTGGAGGGGACTGAAATAAGGTGGTCTAGGAGGAGAATTGCCCTGACGCTTTGCTTGTTGTGATGCATGGGTTGAAAAGATGAAGGCCCTGAGGTCTTTGCATAATGGAGGCTCGGGATCCCTTTAGTTCATCTGGGAAGGTTTTAAGCTGCAGGTAAAGTTGAGAGGGTTCACGGGTGAGACAACAGTAGTGGTGAAGGACTCAAGTGGCCGCCTGTGGACTGGTTCTGGCCTGCAAGCTACTTCTGTCCAGGAGAACAGCAGTGGACACCAGCTGAGCAAGGAGTTGCTGTTGGTACCATGACCCTGAAGGAGGTCTGTCAGAGCAATGCTGATGGTGGTACAAGAGCAGTTGTCTGGAAGTGCTTCCTGTTTTCTTATCCAAACATGGCAAATGAGGGGTGATGAAGTGGAGACAGAGCCAAAGCTGTGTGAATTTGGCGAACAGGAGAAGGGAGTTTTCAAAGCTGAAGCTGTATAATCTTCTTTAGGTAACTGTGTCTTCTTTAGGTAGCTGTGTCTCAGGTCACTCGTGATCACTTAAGGATGGTGGAGACCTCAGAGGTGTTTAATGCAGAATGCCAAGGTCAGGATAAAGATGCCTTCTAGGCTTCAGGAGCTCTTTTGTTCAAATCTATACTTTTATTTCTGACTAAAGTGTGCCCTAAGCTGCCCTCAGTGTGAATAATCCAGCTCCAGCTGTATTAGTAGCAATCATCTCTGAATGATGGCATCAGACTTTCATTTTTTTATAACCAAGTCTAAATATGAGGGGAGGAGATGTGATTCATCGTGTAGTTCTGAAATAGACTTCAAGGAAGAGGCCAGGCCAGCACCTGTGCATGATGTGATGCTTCCTTGAGCTGTTTCAGGACAGGAGATAATACTGTTGATGAGGTTGAGGGTTGTGCCCTGGCGTCCATAATATAAGTTATGTGTGTTGCCCCTTCTGATAATAAACTGCTCTGTTCTTTGCAGTGGAAGTGTTACAGAGCCTTGCGTCAGTAGAAGTGGAGCCACTGCCCAACGCAGTAATACAGATGTTTGCTGCTCAAATACAGAGATCTACATCACAAACAGACATTCCTGATGCTGACCTTTCAGTAGTGGACTCCAAAGTTGTGATGAGCCTCATGCCCTTTCAGCGGGAAGGTGTGAAGTATGTCCTTTTTGCATGCTGTTGAGAGCTAGAACCATGTACTTTATATTGGTGCCCAGGCTGCATTCTCTTCTGTGGAGGGCTCCACATTTCTTCTGAGTCTTGGGCTGTTACACTCCGGCACCCTGGGCTCTTGGTTGTTTGCTATGGCGTGGTATGGTTTGTTTTGTTGGGGGGTTTTTGTATTTTTTTTTTTTTTTGAGTGACGCATTTACTCTGTTTCTAGCTTGGATTCTTCAGCATGAGTCAGGAGGAAAGTAGCATTTTGCTAGTCTCATAAAATAGTTCAAATGATACATCTCTGATCTTCCCCTTGTGATTCAGTGTGTGCTTAATTGTCAGATGATTTTTTTATTTTGTAAGGTCATATTTTTTTTTTCCCCAAGAGCATCTCTTTTGTTGTTGTTGTTTTTTAAATATAAACTGCACATGGGAAAGTGCCAGGACATGGGACAAAGGTCCTGAAAGATTTAAAATTACTAATTGTATGTAGAGATAAACTTTTAAATGTCCCTGTCCCCATCATATATGGTCATCAGTTGTTGACTTCAAGATGCAATCCAGGGAAGTCTGTACTTACTGGTGTTAAAGTGGCATTGTTATTAATACCGCTTTCTTAGCTCAGCCAGGATGAACTCTGGGACATAATGTGACTAATATGGAAAGAATGTACTTTAAATAATTGTAAGGTCTCGAGACTACTCCTCGTTTGAAATCAAAGTCTCTAAGGCCTGGGCTGAACCACTCTGTTCAGGAGCTGCCAAGAGTTGCTCACTTAGCACAAGAGTTCCTCACTTGTGTTAAGACTAAGGGAGAAGACATAAGTTTACTGAAGAACCCAGATCACTTCCAGATGATCCCCATTATAAACTTGGGATGAGTTGTGCTCATCTTGGCTGCCAGGACAGGTGGTAACCCATTTCTTGACTCTTACTTATTTCCCCTCTCTATTTTCCCAAGTTTTGCAATTTTAAGAAATGGACGTTTACTTCTTGCGGATGACATGGGCTTGGGCAAGACCATCCAGGCAATCTGCATTGCTGCGTATTACCGGAAAGAATGGCCCTTGCTGGTGGTGACTCCTTCTTCTGTGAGGTTTACATGGGCAGAGGTACTGTGAGCTTGAACGTGTGCAGATGGCCAGCAGAGAGCATGTGTGATGGTTATACTGTGTTGCACTCTACAGAGTTAAAATTTTTAAAATATGTATATTGAGGGGAAGAAACTAAAATTTATACTCATTTAGAAACTTGAGGGGGGGAAATTGCTTGGCATTGACTATATGATATATTGCTATTTTCTTTTATTGGCTGATTTTTCTTTTTGTAGTCCAGCTGATTTGTTGGAAAGAGGAAGATCTAGAGAAAATATCTCCTCTGACCTTCTCTTAACTTTGTTCCTGCAAGTCAGCGGCTCCAAGGGGATGTTTTACTCGTCAGTGTCAAAGACAATAGTTGCATTCAAGCAATTGTCTGTTGGTATTCAAGCCCTTCATAACATTATTTGCCAGTCCCTTGGCTGGAATAGAAGTCCAGATGCTGGGATTCTCCGCTCTGTTCAAGAGGCCCCATTATCATCATGAAGCATCTGTCATTATAAGTCTTTTTGCCTCTCCACTGTATGCTGCTGACTCTGCTGAGTTCTGTATTAATGTTGATCAGGAGCACAAGAAAGCTTGTATGGTTGGGAAATGTATCTTGTATAAATTGCTGTCATGGTTTCTACACTGAGGCTGTTTGATTGCTGTAGGCTAGTGAAATGTTCACTGTGGGGGAAAAAAAGGTAAGCCAGAGGTTTTAGGTTAGTAATTTCATGCCTGAGCAAGAGAGAGTGGGAGTTTAGCTTTCCCTGGAATGTTGCGTTGGTGAGAAGTGTGTTGATTGGGATTTGCTGGTTTTGTGCTGTACCTGGGTTGTTAGAGCATCTTGGCTTGTGTTTTCACGTCCAGTAGTGCAACAAAATGTTGGGCAACAAGAAAAGAAAATTGTTTACTGAACAAGGGAGTGATGCTCATCATGTTTGAGATTTCAGAGGCCTGTAGACCTCTGGGTCAACACCTAACCCAAATCCATGGCTTCTGTGGGATACCTACTGGGAACATTCTGGGGCCTGGTTTCCTGAGGTACTGGGCACCTGCAGCTAAACTCCCACATCCTGTTACATTTAAGCAATATAAGGTGTTTGTGTTTTTTGGTTTTCTTTTACTTTGTGTGCTTGATTTCTTCTTCCTTCCCTTACTCCCAGCTCCCAAGGAGGCTGTTGTGGGAGATGTTTTGTTAGGACATTTGCTTTAGAATTATCTGTGTTGCTTTGTGGGTATGTGAAGGATGCAGGCTGAAGAAAAATGTGTTGTGAAAGTGGAAGAAGGTGGGGTTTATTATGGTCTGTAATCTACTCAGTTCATTCTTGCACAAGTGTGCATTACTATAATGGTAGAAGCTTTTGTGGTGTCTCTGGAGCTGAATTGCCAGAAATTGTCTTAATCTCAGAGCTGTCAGTGTTTTGTTTTGGCTTTCTGGGCTCAGGCCACCAAATGCCTTTATATTCAAGGTGCCATAGGAAGCTAGCGGGCAGATGCGAGGTACTCTTGAGTGAGAAGTACTGCAGCCATGTGCCTTTGAAGTTCAGCATTGAAACTTAAATACTTAACAGTTAGGGCAGTTTCAAAACACTTCTTGTGGACAGAAGTCAGCATCAGGTGAGAAATATAGGATCATTTTACCGAGTGAATTAGTCACGTGCCCTTCATAAAAGGAGAGGGCACTACATGTAGGAGCTTCCAGATACTTTCCCACTGCTGCCACCTTTGTCTAAGTTTTGGCTTAGCGTCAGCCACATACAGTTTTTTGTTGGGATGTAACCTTGCCCACATGTTGGCCCATTTTGGTTGTGGTGCTTGTCATAAGCAGTGAAGGATAGTTAATTGTTATTTTCTCACGTACTGAGAAATACAGGAAGCTTACATTTAACTCCTCTAGCTGCTGCATGTGGTTGCTGAACAGAAGCAAGAAGGAATGATGCTTGGGGAAGTTCCACAAGCTAAGGGCTTAGAGGCAGAGATGCCATTCCCCATCACCATTCCTTGGATACATTTCTTCCTGGTTGCTGAAGCCCCAGCCAGTTCTCTGCAGAGCAACATCAGCAGAACTCAAGTGTTGCAGAGAGGTTGGTGTCACTGGGGACACAATTACAAGGGAAATGGTGGGTACGCAGTAGCTAACAGATGGGTTTGGGGGAGGATAGCTTGCTCTGATGTGTGGAGCCTTTCAAGAGGTTGATTTGAATGACTATCAGCACATGTATTTCAGCTGCTGTCATAGAGCAGCTGGTGTGTTGTCAACTTGATCTTTTCATTTTGTTTGTTTGTTTGGAGTTTTTCTGGTAGATTTTTTCAGAAGGAGAGGTAGTGGAAGTGTTTTTGTTGATCTGGATGAGTTGTACTTTGTCCTCCTGTGGAGTAAACATTACTGTAGTGAGATGTTTACTGCATAGAAGTCTGTGTTTCAAAGCCTGAGAGTTCCTACTGAGTGCAAAAACTAAGTTTCTCAGTCAGTAGTGGTCGCTGCATTCTCTGGCTCTGAGCGTAGGAGGTAACATAGTCAGGAGGTTATGCACATTTCTACTACACATCAGATTTTTTTTTTCAGTAAGAAGCAAGAATAGAGCATGTTTGAGCCTTGCTAGCTGTGGAAGGTAGATTTGGCCTGATAACCTGAGTTCTGTTCCTGATCTTACGATTAAGAGGATTGTTGCCTTGGGAAGGCTGTTTATCCTTACTGTGCTCCAAGCTGATGTCCAGTGGAAGGTGGGGTAGATTCATGTTCTAAGCATTTAAGAGGATGGTCTGTGAAGTGCTTTGGGATCCCGACAGAGAACATAAGCACCAGAATGCAATTAATTGCTTTTGTCTTCCTCCAGGCATTTCACAGGTGGCTTCCATCCTTGAGTCCAGGTAGCACCAATGTCATAGTGACTGGCAAAGACAACCTAACAGCAGGCTTGATCAACATTGTCAGCTTTGACCTCCTCAGCAAGATGGACAAGCAACTTAAGAGCACTTTCCAAGTAGTTATTATTGTAAGTAATACACTAAAATTTTGAGGTTAATTGTATGCTGCAAAGGGGGTAACCTTTGTGTTGTACAGCAGTGTGAAGTGGGCCTTATTTAGGACTGAAACTATCTTGTAATTGTGGCTGCAGTCACAGCTCTCTCCAAAAGTAGAAGCAGGAGGTTTTTCCGAAACTTTCTGAGATAACCAGAAGAGTTTAATTCCGTTTTGATTCCTGAGGCTGTATTTTCTCTTCTGCTGGCTGTGGTGCTTCTCCAGTTTCATTGTGGTTGAGCATGAGAGCAAGGTATTTAATGTGGTGTGTCAGTAGTCTTGGAGTTGTATTGTTTTGAGGGGACTGGACTTCAGGGTGATGTTAGTGTTTATCCAGTAAACCTGGTAACCTCTCAACTTCAAGTGTGTGGGTAAAGCATCAAAAAAACTCCTTTTGCTTGTGTTCCACTGACAATCTGCATTAAGCCTACTTTGATCACTTGTATCATTTTTTTTGTAAATTACTTCAAAATCCACTTTTTAATCTTTTACAGAGCTGTGGTAAAAGGCATTTTTCTAGATTTCCGTTACTAAAAATTCAAAACGTCTAGTGTTTCAAATCCAACTTGGATCAATAGAGACCAAAAGTGTCTACATAGGTTACTATGAGTGTTTGATGTTCTCAGCACACATACGCACCTGTCCCTAAGATCATGACAATTGGCACATAATAATCCTTTTGTTTCTCAGCATCAGATGGGAGTGTAGAAATAGACAAAGTTCTTTGGAGACCAAACTGCTCATGGGGGAATCGTTTTTTTTTTTTTTTTTTTTTTAAATTTTTTTTTTCCCCTGCCTGCTCTCTGACAAGGCATTCTGTGAGAGTGGAAATGCAGATTGTTGCTTGGGGTAAAGGGACTTGGGCTCTAGGGCTACTGCCCTGGAAGCTTTTACCAGCACTGAGCTGGTGGATGTTCTTTCTGTGTGTTTACAAGTTCAAATTTGGACCCTGTATATATTTTTACAGATGGGAGTAGTCCTACTGAGTGAGCTTCCTTGCTTTTTCTTCCAATGTTCTTTTGATGGCTGGGAACATTAATGTAGCTTATTTGTTAATCAGGAGGGAGAAGGCTGTGCCTGAGAGGCTAAGCAGTTGTATTGTCTCTGCATGCATGATTGCTTGCTCATCCACATGTGGAAAGATGAGAGTGTACCCTTGGAGGCCGCCGATTACTTTTTGTATCTAAGTTCTGCTTTGCTACAGCAGTAGAAATGAAGCCTGTTTGGGGGTGATGTCTCAAGTAGGAGGCTATTATCCACCTGGTGAGCCCTATCAGCAGAACGGTTGGATCCTAATTAGGTTTCTGTTTTTCCTTGTAATTTTTATTAACCCCTTATTTAGGGAAGTAGCACTGTATAGGCCTCCTATGTTTATGCATTTAAAGGACACACAGGGCAAGGGAATATCAGTGGAGGAAATAATGTTCCTCTTTCTCCTTCCCTCTCCAGCCCCCTCTGCTCGCTTGTTTGTGGTCAGTTGAGATTCATGGCTTTAAGGTTTGATTTCTGTTCCATTTGCTTGCAGCTGTGGGTTTGAATGTAGGAACCCTGCTATTCTCCACGCTGTCTTTTTGTTTAGAATTTGATGTGACTCTCCCAGTGCTTGAAATATCCTCTGGGATGACAGGCTTGTGGCATTAGATAGCTGAGAATACTGGAGTGGTTCTGTAGCCTGCACTTGGACTATGGATCAGAACTGTCTTCACTTTCATGCTTGTTTTTTTTTCAGGATGAATCTCATTTCCTAAGGAACATAAAAACTGCACGATGCCGAGCTGCCATGCCTGTACTGAAGGTGCGTGTGCTGGGTGCCAGATCTCCAGCAGCTTAAGGTCAGGCTCCCAGAGCAGTGTTACTACATTTACCAGGTTTAGGAGCCAGCAGCTGAATTCTGTTGTTGTGCAACTGGAAATCCAGGTAATGTTGTAGATCCAAGAGCAAAATTTGTCTCTGGCTTAGCCACTTGTTTCCATAGAAATGCCAGACAGGAAGACCTAGGAAAAGAACTTCAGAAGTCCCCTTGATCTAACTGTGGTACTGCCACTGGTGAGTTTTATGGTGATGGGAAAAAGGGAACGTCAAAACTTACTGAATCTATTCAGGGAGAGTAGAAAGAATACAGTAGTGTCAACGTTGCTTGTTTAATGGAAATAATCATTACCAGTTACTGCTTGGCATGCAAATCCCTGCTGTATATCAAAATGACATTACTTAAGTCCCTTCCTTGGCTCTGGTTTTGGGCTCTACTCTGTTACTGCAAACTTTCAGTGTGCATTTGTGTGGCTGGGGTTCAGGAACACTCCTGCTGGTTAAATGTGCAGAACTAGTAGGCAATGTCAGAATGTGAGGTTAGCAAGACTAGTGGCCCACAGAAGGGAGGCAATATTCAATTATGCGATAACAGGAGAAATGTAAATTTTAATGTCTGCCTGTTGTCCGGGGATCAAAGAATCAAACTCTTCCTGGTAGCCTCTAGCAGATTAGAGTTAAGAGTAGTTTCTAGACACTGCAAAATCTGTACGTTAGAACGAGGTAAATGCAGTTCCTCTTTGGCAATTATCAGCAAGTGTGTAGAAAGAGAAGATTCGATCTGTGATGGTTTTATAGCAACCAGCTTTTACATGGAGGATTCTTAATGGAAAGCCAAAGGTGGTTGTCCTTGAATAACTTCATTGTTCTCTTTAAAGGCCTGACTCTTGTCTTCTCTTGGCTTTCAAATCAGTTCAGGCTTTTAATGTTTGGAAATGAAGTAGGAGGTCCAATTTTATGAGCAGTTTGAAGTACAATAATTAAGGTGTATGTCTGAAAATGGTGGAAAATAACAAATTTACCTCACTGCAAAATGCTCAAAAAGCGATTTCATCCTTTCCTACTTGTAGTTTTGTAAGGATCAGCTTGTCAAAATTATTTGCAGGCTACAAGACATGAGAGTGAAAGATGGTAGCTGTTAAACGGAGGTTAATTGCCTGTATGCACTTACTGAGAATTTACAGTTTTATGCTGTCACATCATCTCACAGAACTGAGAACTGGTACTTCTGAAACTGAATTTCAGTCTTGTGAAGGCATTAAGAGTTTCGTGTTCTTATCATGCATTATCTCACCTGCAAACAGCATACAGTACCAGATGTTTCATGTTAGATGTTCAGGTAAATTTTATTCTCCTGCTTGCTGACTAAAACTTCTGAAGTGACTATTTGCTGTAATAGCCACTTTTCTGCTCTCCTTGCTTTCCAACACAGGTGTTTTGCTCTAAAACTAGCCCTTTTAACAGCTTTGTCTTCAACTACTAGTGAGTGATGCTGTGTTCACTACTGGCACAGCAAATCACAGCAATGCTTTCATATTTGAAAGAACTGCCAAAATGTGAGGAGTTTTCATCACTAGAATACTGGATTTAACAACTCCTCTGTGTCATCTTTATGGTAAATAGTCAATGGGGTAAAAATGGGAGTATTTTCAGTATTTTACATGATAATGTAAAATGATTTGAGATTATTGAATAAGAGACATTGATAAACATGCTGCTGAGGATAATATTCTTGCTCTTGCCTTCTTTATGTTAAAAGGCTTAGAGCAGTACTGGGGCTCTTAAAGACCAAAAAAAGCTGTATCCATAGGCAAGGTACACTGCTTCTAGCACCTTAGTCCCTACCAGCATGAAGCCATGCCAGTGCTGTAACCAGAGCCCCTGGAGCCAACTCGTGCCTTGTCTACCTTCTAAGCGTTACCGATTCTCTCTGTTGTTAGCATTATGCTTCTTCACACTTTCTGAAACTGCCATAGTTGCTGTATTTCTTACAAGGTTCTCGACATTCTAAAGCATGAAAGCTTAGCCTTGAACTGGCTTTTGGGGACAGAAAAGAAAAAAAAAACACTTAAGGACTGTGATCCTTTGTCCTTACATGCTGCAGAGATTTATGAGTCCATAATGACACTGGGCAGATCTAAGTTAAAATGTTTCTGAGCCTGAAATGTTTCTGTCACTTCTATCCATACTTAATGGATTCTTTTTATCTTGATAGAATCTGCTCCTGTGACTTCTCCATTTGAATAATAAATAAAATATAAGAACTGTTACGACTGTTTAGACAGAACTGCACAATAATCAGATTAAAAAGGTGACTTACCTTGGATATTAATTTTCATAGAAGCATAGAATAGAATCATAGAATAGAATCATAGAATGGTAAGGGTTGGAAGGGACCTTGAAGATCATCTGGTTCCAACCCCCCTGCAATGAGCAGGGACATCTTCCACTAGATCAGGTTGCTCAGAGCTCCATCGAACCTGGCCTTGAACAATTCCAGGGAGGGGGAAAGTTTGAATCTGCCTTGTTAGATAGCCAAGCTGAATCTCCACCTCTGAAATATTTAACCTATGGTTACGGCATTTAAAGTCTCACTTTAGTTTTAATATCTGATATTGACTGGTCTTCAAAATGAAGTGATATTTTTAGCCACTCAGTAATAGTTCATCTTTCCCTGCTCTCTTGTACGTATTGTGGAGCAACCATGGTATGAAATTGTCAAGTAGAACCATGTATTAAACATGTGGCCTAAGTTTGTCAGTTGGGAACTTCCAGACTTTTTTTAATGTTAAAAAATTCCACAGACAGTGTGTGTGTAGTGTTCTGGTGCGTGTAGTATTCAGTATGTTTTGTCACATACTAAGCTGCTATGCTGACAAAGATTTAGGAAAGTTTTGCTTGGGACAGTGGGAAGTGTGACCAGGACTTTTTTGTGCACTTTTATAATGGCTGGATGTATGCAGTGACCATGCTCGCTACCTGGTAGCTTGCCCCAGGTTGTCAGTAATTTAGAGTAAGTGTATGGTCATGTTGTGCCCAATTCATTGTTACTGGATGAAACTTTGAGAGGAACTTATAATTACACAAACAATAAGATAGGGTGAGCTGAAATAGCAGCAGCAAAATATGTAGGCCACATTTCTTATTCCCTTCACATTGCCATTGGATGTGCAAACTTGTGGGTGTGCAGACTTGTACATGAGGGACAATGCTTCATCCGCCTACATGGAATCAGGTGGCAGAGTTTGTACACAGCCTGTGTGCATCCCTGCAAAATTATGGAGGCGGATGGATTGAAAGCTGTGGTAGGAAACAGCCTTGTGATGTTTTGACATGTGGCAAAAATCCTGCTTTCAAGCCCAGCCAGCTTTCATGCTGGCCAGTCTGTGCCAGCAGTTGCATGCGATCTGTCCTCAGCTTCAGCATCTCTTACAATACTCAAGAGGGCTAGAAGTTCCTGTGTTCAAAGTGGTCCTTTTGTCTTGTTTCCACACACACCAAAGTGAGAATAGCCTCATACTGTTGGGCTTTGGTGGAGTCACCACTTTCAGGCCTGGCTTGTCCCTGCCTCTAATCCAGAGCAGTGGCAATCAGTAGTAGGACCTACTTGTCACCTTGCTGCTTTTCTTTAGTCTGATGATTGGGACTAAGTTCTTACCAGCGTACTGACAATATTGGTTGTTCCCTTTGCCTCTGCCCTGCATCTGCCTCCATCAGAGGTAGAAAGTGTCGTGCTGTTACGTCTTTTGTAAGCATTTTGTTTATTCCTCCCAAGAGTAGACTGGCCCAAAGACGTGAACATAGGAGGGGGAATATACATGCTACCAATATCCATAAAACAGCAAAGCCCCAGGGGTGTAGATGAAGAAGAAACAACAAAACAGAAGTTTTTCACTGACCTGTGGTGGGATCCTTTGGGGACTGGAGTGAAAAGGATTCTACATCCTTGGACCAGCCAAAGTGCTGCGTGGTCTTTGTTCTTCTATAATTGCAAGAAGTATTGCAAGGCAGTGGAAACTGGGGAAAGTCCCAATGGAACATGGATGAGTTTTTCTGAAGAGTGACAATAAGTTTGTAGTGAAGAACTGGGTTGGAAACTGAGGGGAAAAAAGTAGTATCTAATCAAATACTCCAGTGGCATAAAATAGTCTTATTCCTGTTATGCTTCCTATGGGCTTTGTTCCACAACATTTGGGTGATATTACTAATGTGATTGTTCCTATTGAGCCGCTGTTCAGGTTAATACCATGATGCGCATCCTGATGTTTGTGGGGTTAAAGGTCTTTGTTTCTGTTATGGAAGTCCAAATACATTGTGTGGTGGGAATCTAAAACTCTTTGTGCTTGTTTTAATAAAGAGATGCTTAAAAATAATAGAGGGAAGTAGGTCAATGCTGAAGGTAGAAGGGGAGGAGGGAACACAAAAATCTCCCCTTCCAGTGGGAAATAAATAGTAGCTGTCTTTAGGCACTACAAATCCATATGGATTGGATAAATAAGCCTTTGCTTTTTGTCAGCTGCTGAGAGAAGGAGCTTCATCTCGAAACTGGAGAAACAGTGGGCCCTCAAGGCTGCATCTTCAGATCTGCTCTTACCTTCCAATTTCGCTTCCTTCTTGCAATAGGAAGGTAGTGTAGTTTCCTGCAGTCGTAGTTGGTCATTGCCATTTGATATACATTCTCTGTCTAGATGCTATTTAAGAATTGGGGAAGACGTTTATATTTTTTGGAATAACCACTGCAGGATCATCCTATGAAATGCAGAGCCCTATCTATCTTACACAAGTACAGAAACAGATTCTCAAAACAGCTGCAACACTTTCCCTTTATGAAATCTTCTATTTCATCAGGTGATTATCTCTGTTATATTATGGCTACTCTCAGATTTTTCTTTTCACAGGATAAGGTATACTTACGCTAAGCAGTGCACAATGACAGAGTAAGCAAAAACTGAGGACACAAGTAATTGTACAGCCAGAACCAGCCACACTTATTTTAAAAGTATGTCAGTCTGATAGCATATGGCAGACCTCATGCTGTGAAATTCATTTAACACAGAGACAGTCATTGTATGTTAATGAGGCTCTTTGCATGTTCAATTATTTCTTTGTGGCATAACCCCCACCCCACCCCCACCTACTCCCCTTCGAATCAGTTGGGTGCTGGGTTTTGACCTCTAAAGTAAGTGCCATTGGGGTTACCATTTCATATTTTATTCTTTGACTATCCAAAGTCACTTTTGTAAATGTTGTCACGGCTGAGGAATTAATTATTGCTTGTGCAAGTGTAATGCTACAAAGACACAATTGTCTTAATGTTACTTAGTAAATGAGGGCTACAGAACAGGTCTCTGCTAGTCAAGTCATTGTCAGAGTCCCTTTCCCATACAAGAAAGTAGCTGTAAGAACAGTCACAAGGATACGTGAGGGAGAGGAGTGCTTCTGGGGAAGGTGAAACTTCATGCCTAAATGTTAGTGAGCAGCTAATGTTAGTTCTCCTATGTGGAAATATGTATCAATTGATTACAGATCTGGTTCTGCTAGAAAGTCCTTGCTGGTCACTGCAATCTTGTTTTCTGTGGTGTTATTCCATACTGTTCTTATAGCAGCAGAGACTTCTCTGCAGGAGCAAATCTTTATTGGCATCTATTCAAACTGAGTTGCTACTAGAAAAAGAGATGTGGATCAAAGCAATTTCTTTCATACAGAATTTAAGTAAGCCTTCAACACGCAGAAGCTTGTCTTCCTAAGATTATTTTTTCGTTCTTTCCTTTCTTGGGCTCCTTCTGTAATGGATTTTAAAACTGAAAGGGACCCTTGGGATAATGAGTTAGACCACTTATGTTCCACACAATTTTCTGGAGTTAATTTCTTTAAGTTCTTCACAGCTCACGTGGAACTAGCGTCTTCTGGGGTTTTGTTGTTTGCAGAGGGGTGATGGTGTGTATTTGTGGCTTCTTTTTTACTTCTTGATTTGTTTAAAATGGCTGATTAGAGAAGTGCTTGCAATGGTTAGATACCCTATCTGCTCAAAATTAAGTTGTGCATGGCAAAACAGCAGCTGGACAAGTTTAGAATACAAATAACGTGTAACTTTATATTTGTCTCTTTTGATACCTTTTTAGGGATTGGGGAAGGAGCCTGACTAATTGTTTTGACTACTGAGGAATTAGGGTTTGAACCTCATCCCATGTAGCTTCTGGGGAGCACCCTGCAAAGAGGAGGAGCTTTGAGAATGGCAAGACAGTTGGGTTCATGTTGCATTTAATATGTCCCTGATCTATTTTGAGTGAACTTTTCTTGCTTTAGCTTGATCCAGAGTTATATGAAATGAGCTGTCTGTAATTGCACGACCTCGATGTTGTCTTTTTCCTAGCAGTGGCCTTCTGTTAGTCCAGGAGTAAAAAGTATAATTTGGACGTTTCTTGCACATGTGGGACTAGCTTGTCTTGCATTTCAGCAGGTTTCTCAAAATGATGTCAGTTTACTCCTCAAAGGCTTCTGCAAGGCATCAGATAGGTTCTGCTCAGCTTTCCTCCACTATTAACCTTAATGTTAAAAACTAACCAAATTTCTGTTTTATCACTTTGTTTCCTCATGGGATCTGATATCTTTGGGCTATGTGACTCCTCTCTCTTTTGAGAAGCATAGGCACCTCCGTCTTGTGTGAACTAACTCTCACCTTCCAACACGTCCGAAGGTGTGACCTCTCCTCTTATTTAGTTCAATAAATATCCTGCTTTTTTAAATGTTTATGGGAATTGTCTGATTGTGGTGGTGATCACATTTCCTTCTGATCTGTTTAGTAGGGATGGAGGGGGAAGGCAAGTCCCACCTTGATTACAACCTATATATAAATATCTGATAGAGTCCTGAAATTAATTTCCGGTAGCTGATCTGTGAACTCTTTTTCCACCAAATTTGGTTGGCAAGTGGATAAATTGGCTGAATAGATTTCGGTGACTGGTAGATCTCAGTGAAACGATAAAAGAATTTCATTTTCTTTTTCATTTAAATGTGAATGAGCTGTTGGTACAGATGTCACTCAAGAATCTCTTTGTTATTTTAATGAACCTGCATTAAACCATGCAGGAAATTACAAGACATTTGTAATTTAACTACTATATGTGAATTTACAGCAGGAGAAATTCACAGCTCTCATCTAATAATAGAATTAGATAATAATGCAGGTATGAGGGTAAAAAGGCATCTTGGAGGCTTTTGTCTATAGTGTAATTTTTTTCCTGACTTTTTGGGTGCACCTACTTTAGGTACAGGTTTCCCACCCCGCCCCCTTCCTGTCTCCCCTACAGCACACGCTTTACAATCTTCTTACATGATTTGTATTAACTCATGTTCTGCATCCAGTCAGCTTTGCCTAGATTCACGGTGGCTGTCAGGTGGGCATCTTCTGGTCCTGCTTCAGGCACCTTCATCTTTCCCTCCTTGCTTGTAGAATTTAAAAAGAAAAAAAAATAACAAAGTAAGGAAAAAATCCTACTTCTCTGGATCTCTTCTGCTTTTGTGAGGAAGACAGTCTGTTTATGGCTTTCTTTGGCAGGTTTATTTCAAGAGAATTTATTTTGGAGGTGAGGATGTACTTGAAAGGGTGTGTCATTTTCCTGTGACATGTGATGCCAAATGAAATGTTGAGCCAGGCATGAGATATTAATGTGTCTAGTGGGTCAATGCCAATTCAGAAAGTACTGGTGTAAAAATTGATGTCCCCTTCCCTTATAGCGTGTGGATGATGAATAAGAAACAATATAGTTTGTCCTGCTTCCTAGAAGTTTTAGGCACTGTCCTTGAGTGTCTTCAGGCAGTGAAGGCTGAAAGTATCTCTGGAAGGTGAAGTACTGTTCCATTTAGGGTGCTTGGACAATGGCTCTGGGATTTTCTTTCAGGACAGGGAATGACTGCTTAGCAGGTTCTGCTTGTGAGCTGTAGGTAAGCTGTATGATAACAATGCTCCATTTTGCTTTCCCAGGCTGCCAGGAGAGTGATCTTGCTGTCAGGAACCCCTGCCATGTCGCGGCCTGCGGAGCTCTACACTCAGATTGCGGCTGTCCAGCCAGCCTTCTTCCCACAGTTCCACTCCTTTGGGCTACGCTACTGTGATGCCAGGAAGGTACTTCGCTGGGGGACGTGGCAGACTGTGACTCTGCAAACAGCATTTTATTTTATTTTTTTTCAGCTAAAGTGGAGGCTTTTTCTTTCCTTCCTTCTGTCTGATGTTACATCTTTTTGAGAAAGTCACGCTCCAGAGTAACATTTTGAAAGCTCTCAACCTGAGAAGCTCTAGGTGCTGCAGTGGTGGGCCTGAGACATGGAGGCCGTAATGCTTAAAAAAGAAAAAAAAAAAAAAAAAAAAAAGGACGTAGCTGGGGAAATGAGCCTATTCAAATAAGAGCTTGCCTCCAGAGTGTTCTAAATAGGCAGAGTAACTATGGGGCCTTTAAGCAGTGGCAGGTTTGGGCTAATTGATGAACAAACCCCCCAAAAAAACAGTTTCTAGTCTGCTTTAGTGACTGTTTAACAAAGTAAAGCCTCTGTTGCTTGGAATTTTGGATTTTTACACCACCAGGCAAGTAAAAAATGGAGACTTACAGTCCATCTTTGTATTCCACCCTCTTCTAATTCAGGAAATAGATGGTCCTCAGCATATCTTGAGAATAAATTAACTTCTCTCATCTCTGCCAGCTGCTTAGCAGTGGTTTCAGCTGAGTCATTGAGTCTAACCACTGCAAGATCTTGGCTTTGCAGAAAGCCAGCATTTGCAGCCATGATGGCAGGTGTCTGCCTTGCTCTCAACATCTGGGCAATTCTGCTGTGGTTGGATTTGCCATTTCTAGGGCTGCGGTGTCTTTTGGAACACACACAGTGAGAAGAGCTCTTGCTGCTGCCTGTTGTACAAGGAGGCTCTAGGATCTTCTGTGTTGGTTGCATAGACACAAAAAGGGGAACAAAAATTCCCCTGAGTTCTGATTTGGAACAAGAGCCCTCTAATCTGGCTTGCCTTCCAGTTCCTCCAGGACAAGCATGTAGCAGCCTGAGGAACAGAGTGGCTTGGCAATGTGAGCATGGACCTGTAGTGCATAAACTTGCTTGCTCTGCTTTGTTCTCGAGTAATCTGTTGCCTCATTTTCTGTTAGACCGGGCAATACTTTTCAGCTGAGTCGTTGGAAACACCAAATGACCATTTCAATACTCAAAAACATTTACAGAAGAACTGAACGCCATCAGTGTATGCAGTCAAAATAGTTATAGCTATTTATAGAGCTTTTGTGCTTGTTTGCTTTTCTGTTTGGGGTAGCTAACATATACCAAGCTTCCATCAAGAAGATTCATACTGCAGTCTCATATAAATTTCTTAGGTCTCCTTTTTCCTAGATGTAAATATCCACTTTTGCTTTCATAGCCAGTGTAGTGCTGTTCTATGTATGTCTAAATGTACAAGATGAATGAGCAATTCATTGGTCTTGGTAGTCTTATGCTGATGTCGTGATTAAAGTAAAGCCACTTAGCATGCAGAATCACAGATGCAGAGCTAGAGTTCTGGAAGATAACAACACTCATGTTAGCAAAGCCCTGCTTTCCTGGCAGAGGATAAACTTACTTTCTCCATCCATAGTAGGAATCATATAGAGGAAGAGAGCCGCATCTTCCGGTAAGTTTCATTATCTTTTTTGAAAGATTCCTGTCTGAGCAGTGTCTAGAATGCTTCCTAGAGGGAAATGAAGAGATGCAGTTTAATCTCGTTGGCTTGCTGCAGTAAAAAGGAAAGTTGAATTGCGACATGTGAGTCTAAATAGGTTTGGAGTTTCATAAACCCTTTGAGGGTAAAGTTCTGCATGACTAGCTGTCACTTCAATTACGAGGCATATGGACTTCAGGTAAGATGTTGAATTGGATAAAAGAAATAAAATTGTTCTGGACGATCCAGGTTGTAACAGTGTATTCTGTGTAAATGAGTTTTCAACCTACAATGAAACTCAGCATGGAGGTCACAGTCTGTATCAGCTTCCCGTCAAAACCTCTGCAGGGTTTCTAGTACAATTTTGTTTCTCTGTTTGACCCACCTCTGCTAGACAGTTGAACATTACTGGTCTTCTCAGTGCTCACCTGGGACATTTTGCTACAGTTAGTATCAGTAAATGATAGAGTGAACCTAGAAGAATTTGGTTATTTAGAGAAGAAGTAGGGCTGCTGGAAATGAAGAGATGCGGATAATACTAGAGTGAAAAATGAGACTGCTGAATATTGGGTTGCCATAGATCTGCTCAGCAATGAGCAAATTAAAAGGTCTTCTGATGATTGTAGTTGTTCCCTCATGACTGTAGTACGTCCCTTATGTTCCTTTTTGCAGCTCTAACCCGAGATTGTGTTAGGAGTTACATCCTCTCTGAAGAACTATTGTGGTGCTCTTGCTGTCATTATTTAAATAGGTTCTTCTTTCTGTCCTGAAAGTGGCAGCATTATGAGTGGGGGATGGAATTGCACAGAACCAGAGGGGTTTTGCAAGGCTCTTGGAGATCTGTCAGGATGAAAGGTGCTATGTAAAAATGTTTTGGTATTAATAATAAATCTGATTGCATTATAAGATTACAGAAAAACTGACAAACCCAAACTGTTTAATTTAAAACTAAAAACTGACTAGTTTCTGTTTGAAGATAGTAAATTTTATGACAGAAAATTGCAAATATCTGGCAGAGGTGATTAGAAAAGTTATAAAACAAAAGTTTATCATTTTGTAATTCAACCTCCCAGCATCTGTCCTCTTAAAAATGCAGCAAGTGAAATGTCACCTGCTTATTTACAAAATATCTCAAGTCTGTTTCCCGAAATACATGCTGTGAATTCATTTTTCAAACCGGGTGATGTTGGCAAATATTAAATAATTTCTATCTGAGCACATGCTCTGAATTCGTAAGAGTTTGGCAGCTTCTAGTGACACTGTAATAAGTTTACTGACTCATGTAAGATGCTGTAACACTTTGGTAAGAAAGTCACAGTTGGAAGCATTTGTTCTGGAATGTTACGGATCAAAGCCAGATGTGTATTTTGGCAAAATAAATGTCCCTCTTTTTTCTCTCTCTGCCTTTCCACAATAGGATATACTAAATTATATTTTAATAATTTCCAAAAAATCATCTTTTTTTATCACTAGCTAGGTGCAGCACAGAACTAGCGTGTTTCCTTGTTTGCAAATATTTCCTTTGTTCTGGAATGTTACGGATCAAAGCCAGATGTGTATTTTGGCAAAATAAATGTCCCTCTTTTTTCTCTCTCTGCCTTTCCACAATAGGATATACTAAATTATATTTTAATAATTTCCAAAAAATCATCTTTTTTTATCACTAGCTAGGTGCAGCACAGAACTAGCGTGTTTCCTTGTTTGCAAATATAGCAACAGTCACCGTAAAAGAAATACAGTAATCTGAAGACACTGTAGGGCTTCTGCCTGCATATGCTTTTTAATAGGACAGTAGATAGTATATTGGCTCTGTTTGTGCCTTGTTCTTTCAGTTATGATGATGTTACTCTTCTGAAATGAACTGGGCTATGTGGACACAAAGCATTACTTGTCACTGGCTTGTTATGGAAGTGGGAAGTGGAAAAACATAGGCTGCATGAGTAGAATGAGGTAGCCTGAGGGGAGTGTCCGTGCCCTGTAGCAGGTCTTGCTCAGCAGCCTAGTCAGTATTGATCCCTGTGACTTAGCTACCAGCGCACTGGGCGATGTGGGCTTATGAAGCTGGGTGCAGCAGCAGGTGGGTTCTTCTTGGTTCTGTGCATCTGCTCTGCTGGGTCCACAGAGCCTGAAGAGGTGCAAGAAGGTGGCACAAAGACTGAGGCTCAGCACTGCCAGCTTTCACGCAGCATGCCTAAAGCTAATAAACCCAGCTAGACTTGAGCCAGACCTGAAGGGTGTATCTGCATTGCAATCCTGGTTTCAGGGAAGCAGAGCGGTAATACCCATGTTGGCTTTTTGAGGGCTTGGCTTAGAATCAGGTGGGCTTATTACCTCTAGTTGTATACCACTGTGCTGTTGTCAGAGCCAAAGTTTTAACTCTACAGGATCCACACTGGCTTTGTGTCTAGGGTTTGAATTGTTTCCTGGTTAAATGAACCAGCTATAGATATTCAGATGGTACCATAATTATGTAGGAATAGATTAAGTCAAGTGAGTTTTATTGGTGGCCATAAGTGCCAGAATCAGAAGTCAGTTAATGGTTCACATCAGTACAACATGGCAATAGAATTGCATATTGTCCTGTTATGTCTCAACCTGAAGTAGAAATGTTCACTTCCAGATATCAGAGAGGTTCTTAATTGGCTATAAGCTGTTTGATTCCTCCCCTTTCTGTGCCATAGCATGCTCTCATCCCCATTCCATCAAATCACCATCCCTTAATACAGCCAGTAAGATGACTAACCTCATGGCTGGTATGATTTAGTTTTTGTCTCGTGCATTTTACAGGAGGATGGAGGGTGCCGTGAATACTTTGGAGCTTTTTCCTATTTTACTTCTATTGCTGTGTTGCAGCAGGTTTCTCTTGGGGAAGGCAAATAAAAGATACATAGATTTGTAAGGTTAAAATCTTTTAGCAATCAATGTGGTACAATGAGAGTGGAGCAGCAGATCGAAGGGGTTTGTACTGAGGCACCTCACATCTCATATGCATTTCAGGAGCGTGTATTTGTACATATGTAGGGGATTACTTTGGGTTGTTGTTCCAAGACCATAGGTTGTATTTTTTGCTTTTCTTGGTGATACTGCCAGTAAGACCTGGAATTAGAGCTGTGAGGAAGATTTCTCATCCCCCCTGCCTTGGTTTTCAGTATTACTGTAGCTGTATTTCATATACTTATTTCTGAAATTTCAGCAGAAAGGTATCTCTTTATCCTTTAACATAAAAACCTTACTGGTCTCCTTTCCAAAGAAGAGTTGTTTAAAGATGTTTCTTTTGGGGAATGTACCAATTTTGATGCCACTGTTTCTCAGCTAAGTTGTTCTTTCCCAGAGAACAAATGATAGGCTGTGGGGTTACTAGCAGGAGAAGTGATGAGGTGAGGTTAATTGAACAGCTGTCTACACACAGGATCTTGGAGGACAGGGCAGGTTCTAAGGCAAGTGCTTCAAGGACGAGTGAGTGAAGGGTTTGTTCGGAGCAGCTTTGAAGTGATGGTGCTTTGAAGAGACAAATCTTGGAGTGATGTATTTTGGGCCACAAATTATTTATCATTTGCTGGAGTCTGAGCCAAATGTGGTAGTGGCAGAAACAGGGTATGTCAGGAAGCATATCAAGAGACAGGTCACAGTGGAAAGCGGGCAATTTGACCTAGCGTTTGCTAGGCATGTCAGACAAGTGTAACATCTCTGTGAAGGCATTTGGGTTAAGGGTGTTTGTCCTTATGGTGTTAGAGAAGATTTTTGTGTCTCTCTGCATAAAGCCGAGGTGCACGTGTGTGTGCAGATCTGCAGCGAGTTCTGTTGGCCTGCCCAAAGCTGCAAGTGTAGAGCAGAAACACCTTGCTGTGTGAGGATGAATGTTAGTGCGTGGTGCTGTGGTAGGGATCCCTACCTTTCTGTGTAGTCCTCTTCGCTGCAGCTCCCTGAGCACTTCTAGATAGGAAAAAGGGAAGTTTATAAGTAACCTTCTCCTGTTGGGTGGATTACTTTGTACACTTCTGTCTTATTGCCATTTTTGTCAAATCTCTTTTCCTACTGACCATTAAGTTCTTGACTTGTCCAGTTTCCCTGGAACTGTATTCTACTCTTGGATCACCTGCAGACCAGTCTCCTGAAAATCTGACACTGATAACTGCTTTGATCTTTCCCAGATGCCGTGGGGTTGGGACTACTCTGGATCATCCAACTTAACTGAACTGAAAATTTTGCTGGAAGAGTCCATCATGATCCGACGTCTGAAATCAGATGTGCTTTCCCAGCTTCCAGCAAAGCAACGCAAAATGGTTGTGGTGGCTCCTGAAGGCATTAGTGCAAAGACCAAAGCTGTCTTGGCAGCTGAAGCAAAGAAGATGACCAAAGGATATGGAAGTGTAAGTCAGAAACTGTTTTCATGATGAGCCATTGGTACTTCACATACCTTTGTTTAAAAACTTCATTGGAAAACCAGTACCCTGAGTTCCAAGGAAGTCACACCTCAAGTGAAGGCGCAGCGGAAGTCTGTTGAAGACACAGTTCTAAACGAACAGACAACATAATCAAAACAGCTCAGCTTTTTTTTCCTCTTGATTTCTGTGGTCTACTTTGTCCCTTTGTGTGAAATACCATTTCCTCTCTCTTTTTTTACTTTCTTCTTAGTCTTTTCTAATTGTCTCTTGTATCTCCTGCCTCTGTCCTTACTCTTCTGTCCTGCCTTGTAATCCCATTCACCCTACAAACACAGCCTTGTTGAAGCTGCATTGTGAATGCAGCAGTAGCCAAAAATGTGAAGAGTGTATTTCTGCTTTTATTGTTTGCTTTTCTGGTATGGATGGCAAATGCACGTTCTAGGCTCCTAGGCTGCTAGTACAGTTCTCTAAGGACTTTGGCCTTTTTCCTTGCCATTTCAATTGGGGAACGCTTTCTCAACTAAAGCTACGTTTGTGATATGCTTGTCATCCAACTTGAAGGAGTTGATTAGGATGTAGTAAGGGAGGTGTCATAAATAGGAGTGTGTGAGTATCTGCCATACCCAGTGGCAAGTAGGAAACTTCCCCCTCCAGTCCCCTTTTGTTGTGTGTTTTTAGGCTGATTTTTTCCTAGCAAAGTGTTTATTGGCAGCCTCAGACATCCTAGATCTGTAAACAAGAAGGAGAAAAAGCATTTCTGAGACTCACACTTATTTATCTTTTTCTCTGCAGAAACAACAGGAGAAGGAAGCTCTTCTTCTCTTCTACAGCAGAACAGCAGAAGCTAAAATCCATTCAGTCGTGTAAGCTGTGTGTCATTGCTTCATTCTTGCCTAGAAAATGTGTTTTTCCGCTGAGAACAGGAAAACGGGGCCTTAGAGATAACAGTGCAGGGACATGAAGCATAGCCTCAAGTCAGCTTAGGAAAAATTGATTTTAATTACAATGCACTAAACATTTTCTTCTCTTGCAGTTCCTAGGCTCAGTAAGTCTTCTGATTTCATTCCAGATCTGGATCTGAACTGTCATTTGAACCATCTAAAATTACTTGGTGTTTAGGACTTGGATCAAGTTACTGGGTCTGGACCCAAACAATTTCAATTTAAGGAGGGAGGGAGTAATGAAACTAGAAGTATCCACAGAATTTGAGAAAACAAACACTGTAGTCCTGCTGCAGCAGGAAACCTGAGCCAAAAAGCTTATGAGATGGACTGAGCTTTAGTTGTAGCATGCTCTAAGGATGTGTCAGCCCCTGCTGAAGTTCTTGGCTCTTCCATAGAGCTTACATGGGACCTCAGTAACAAAAGTTTTCTATCATAGGTGTGCTTTTAACTCTATCTTTCCTAGAAATAATTTCCTTCTGTGACTTTCCGTGTCCTTTCATCTTTAGCCTTTTACTGCGACTGCAAAGGAGTTGCTTTAGGTCATGTAACATGACTTTTTAATAAGTAGAATGCTAATAACATCAAAACAGTTTACTTTTGCACAGCCCTCTGAATGTAAGGATCAACTGATGTGCGCTGTGTGATTTCACAGTCTCAGACCTTGCTGCAGAATCTGCCTGGTTGGCACAGAACTGCACTTCAGAGTCCCAGCGCTCATTTCTGTAGAAGAGTTTCTTCCTTTTATGTTAGTGAGCAGTTAGAAGACTTTCTTCCTTTTATATTCAGTTGCAAGTGTGAACTGAATATAAAACTGTGAAGTGCTGTTTACTTGACTCTCTGGTAGGAACTAGTCAATTTTTTTTTCCCAGGGTTTAGTAGCATTTAAAATACGACTTCTTATAAACTGCTAGTGTACGGTACTGTCTAGCTAATGGTACTGTCCTATGATCATCAGCACCTCCTGTGTCTTACCCTTAATGACAGTGTCTTCCATTGCTTCCACTGAAATGACTAGCCATTTGTTAAATGCAATATGCATCTGCTTGCTACACTGAAAGTTCACTTTGGTATTTGTTTTTTTGCTTTAAAATCCAGCAATCCCATTTCTTCTTCCAGATTTCTTTGCTAAATGATATTGTCACATAATTAGGATCTGAAGATCACAGAACCCTGGGAGCTGTCTGCAAAGCACTGATATATCTTAATATAGCGCTGGAAATCCCGATTGGTGTTTTCTGACAGTTGCTGCTGACCTGAGCTGTGTTGTATTTGGCAAAGAATTTGGTATTCCTGATCTTCACAACAACTTTATTCCAAAGCAAAGATGACATTTGTATCATCTGTTCTGATAGCTGTTGCTATGCTTAGTTACAAGTTTTAGATTTTTAGGTGTTTTTCAGGCTCTGGTTGACCTGATTGTATCACAAGTTACTACACAGAAATGGATTCTGTCGCTCAGCTATTAGTCCATGGCAAAAGCCAGATGTTTGCATTTCATTAACAGTTTAACTGTCTGTGAAAGGAGTCTTGTTACCTTTCACTGGTCATTAGCCTATATGCATATGCATAATTGCTAGACATAGCTGATGTATTTAGATTGTTAAGCTGTAGTAAGTGATCAGTGTGAACCCTTGCAAGGAAAGCTACTTTTAGGATACCCTGATGCAGGCGTTCAGAAACCTTTTCTTCTAAAATAAAAACAATCCTAAGTATACATGGAAAGGATAATTGTATACAGATTTAGCTTAGTGTGTTGTGATTGTGCAAAAGTTAGAAACATGGAAGGGTGAATGAGATTGTCATAAGTAGGGATGCCCTCCAGTTGATTGGTCTGGGATGTCATGCTTCAAGTAGGATATAATAAATTGATTGATACACAGGTATAAATGTAGGCAGCTGTCCAGCTGTGTTGAAGAAAATAGAGTGGATTTTCCTGCAATGTCTTTTTTAGTCTGTAGGAGGCTTGACTTTCTACTTGCATTTTACTGCAACTTTTTCATGTTAGTTTATTTTCTAGCTTCTGTGTATAGATGAGCAGTATCTTTAAAATTTGTTGTGGCAAAGTCTGTGTTCTCTCAGCACATCATTTATAGAGTTTGGGGGGGCTTTTTTCCTCTTTTTCATGTAGAGAATACATCCTGGAGTTACTGGAAAGTGGGAATGATAAATTCCTGGTGTTTGCTCATCACATGATAGTGCTGGATGCAATAGTTGCAGAGCTGGAGAAGAAAGTAAGTAATTTACTGAGTTGTCTTAACTCTATCGCTGTTCCAGCTTCAAAGCTGTTTAAGAGCTCCCCAGGGTTATGGCCGGTCAGATAGTTCATGAAAGTTAGTGGCAGAGATAATTTCTACTTGCTGTGCTTCTGAATGTGACCTTCACTGAGGGAGCTGAGCTGTCGGGGTGAGTGCCTCACAGGATGCACTTTGTATTAGCTGAATGGCTTTTTTTGTATTTAATGTTCTTAAACCTCCATCATCCGCCATGGAGCTTGTGAATTCTTGGAGGAGTGTTACCCTGTGTGGCCATCTCTGCTTTGTCCTCCAGACTTTCCTCAGAGAGGGGAAACGTAACAACCAAAGTCCAGCTATGGCTGCCTGCCTTTATCTCTGTGATGCTCTTACTTTTTTGAACTGGGATACTGTAGGGAGACTTGCTAGACATGCCAGTCAGTGCTCTTGACTTCAAAAGTGTTTGTCTAATTATTTATGAGAGACTTCTGTGGATGCCCCTCAAGAGTTCTGGGTCATGCTGGAGCATGGATGGTAAAGGATGGTTTAAGTTAATATTCCAAACTATGAACCACAGTGGCAGTGGTGACTTTGCTGCCTCTGTGGCAGCATTGTCCGGCAGAGCTAGGACGTTGGACACTGAAGAGTTATGGCCCTGCATCACCCAAGTTTGTCATGCCTCTCCTGAGACTACCACAGAGCAACTGAGGTGCATAGGACCCCATCCCCTCCCATCACAAACAGGAGAAGACTTACGGAGGTTGGGGAGATTGTAGCAGCTGTAACATTATCACTCAGACAGTGTTCAGGTTTGTATTAAGCCAGTTGCCTTTCCACTGTACCTGAGTTGCCAGCTTGTTGCTGTCCTTCCTGTTGCTCAGGGCTGGTGGGAGAGCAGTGGACGTATAAGAGCAAGTCATGGGTTGTGAACAGAGGGGAGGTGCATTATACGCTGAGCTACAGTGCCTCTGCCTTAAAGATCAGGAAAGGTCTTAAAAATACAACTGTTGCCTGTTTAGTTTTCTGGTTCTGCCATGGGGAGGGGAAACAGAGTCCACTAAAACATGAAAGGAGGATATGGGAAAGGGGACACAAGGCCTCTAAAAAGTATCTTCTTCCCCCTTTTCACAGCGTGTTGAATACATTCGCATTGACGGCTCCACACCTTCAGCTGAGCGGCAGTCTCTGTGTCAGAAGTTCCAGGTCTCGGAGAAGCAGGTCGTGGCTGTCTTGTCCCTCACTGCCGCAAACATGGGCCTGACACTTTCTGCTGCGGACCTGGTGGTGTTTGCAGAGCTCTTCTGGAATCCTGGGGTATGTGTCCTGGAAGGGACAGCAGTTGTATGCTCCCTGAAGAGCAGAAACATTGGCACTTGGGAGATGTAATGCACAGGGAACTGTCCGTAGGCTTTTTCTCTTTCTTTCTCTGATGGATACTTGTCTGTGCACCCCCAGGTGCCTGGGCTTGAACTAGCAAGGCTGGTTAAACAGCTTGCTGGCTGGAGAAGATGGTGTGACAGGGAAATAAGCTCCTGTTTCTTAACTTGACAGAGCTCTCAACAACTTGCCCAGCCGAGACCTGAAAGGGTCCATCATCAATGCTGACCCTCTGCTTTTGAAAAATGCTCAATGCCTTTTGAGACCCGGTGCACCCGGTTACTTCTGGGTTTAGTCTGTGTTTGAGGCTGCAGGTGTTAACAGAATTCAGATAAGAAGTAGTTGCGAAGCTCAAGAAAGGAGATCTCCCTGTTCTCTGGTGCTTATGCTATTTCTTAGATGTTGCAGCTTTCACTTTATTTTCATTGTCATTTTTTTACATAAAGGTTTTGATCCAAGCAGAAGATCGGGCACATCGAATTGGACAGACCAGCTCCGTTAATGTTCACTACCTGGTGGCTAAAGGCACAGCAGATGACTACTTATGGTAGGAAGTGAGAAAGACACATTGGTTCTCCTGCCACCCATTTTCACTGTTTGTCACATATGTGGTGTAAGGTGCTTGATGTTAGTGCTGGTTTCCACAGCTTGTGGAGGGGAGGAGCAGTAACTGCTAATCAGGGCTGCTGTGAGCTGGTGACACAGCCTGGCCACAGTGGACATAACTAAGTGGATGACAAGCAGGGGGAATAAAAGTAGTTACCTGACAAAGAAAGGGCTGTTGAGAGAAATTCTGGGAGAGCTAATGCATCTAAAAACTTCACAGACACTGTATAAGGAGGAGTTATATTAGATAGAGCTCAGAGCATTCGTCTGCTGGGGTACTGAAAAGTGCTGAGTACTTCCAAGCAAAGTCAGCAAACACTGGAGATGGTTCAAAGTATCACGGGTCAGGTCTGAGGAGCAGTCTGGCTGCTGAGTGCTTGGACAGGGAGATGTGGAGGAGGACTGCGCTTTTTCTGTTGCTATTCAGTGAGCCCTTCAGATGCATTAAAGAAGTGCTACTGACCCATCTCTGGGGAGTTGTGGGCTGAGCGTATTTGGCTGCAGTGAGAGCTACCCATGGACACTGGTCCTTAGGGATGGGGAATCTGATGTCCTGGGGAAGGGGAGGATCTGAGGAATCCTTAGTGCTGCAAGGGAACTGACCTGCAAATAATGAAAAGAAATTATCCACCAGCTGGTTCGTTTAAAGTCCAAAATTACATCTTTATTAGCTTGTTTAAAGGAACAAATGAACTAAGTGAACTTCTGCAGTTCCCAGAATATCATGATGGCAAATAATTATAACCCTACAATGCAGGGATCTGGAAACTGATGCATCGCCCACGTTTCATGGAAAGTTAATGACAGTAATTCTGCCTTTATTTGTGAAATGCTGTCCGTGCAGTCATCAATGTTTAATGGGAAGGAAATATGGCTCTTCAGAGAAGGACAGTGGCATCCTTTTTAAAGGCGAGAAAAAGAACAAGACGACAAGGCTATTTGGTAAATGCATTAATTGTGCTGTGGCCTTTGCTTTTTTCAAAGTGTCCAGTCTGCAGGTGCAGTTGGGACCTCTTGGGCTGGGGATGGATCCTTACTCCTGCAGGACATCGGGAGATACCCTAGAAATGCGGATGTGTCTGGTGGTGGGGGATTACCTTTGCTTGCCTTGGAGACTCAACACACAGGCTATTGGGACTCCCGTTAGCTGCATCTTCTTGTTCTGACTTCATACCATTGGTGTTGCCTCAGTCAATTAGTTTCCTTACTGGATATGTGTGTTCTCCAAATATTTATAGCCTGAAATCCTCTTCTTACTACTCATTTAAATTTGATTGATACTTATTGGAATTGGATTGATTGATTGATATCCCAAGACAGCATACACTCGTCACGAACAAGAGCTGGACAGGTTAAGGAACTAGCAAGCTTTGGGAAAAAGCCATCTTTACACCCCTGTTATATCTTTTTTTGAATCTACACGTAGTAAATGACACAGTGTCCTTGCATGATATTTTCTTCCTTTCAATAATATCTGTTTATCTCTCCTAGGCCAATGATTCAGGAGAAAATCAAAGTGTTGGGGGAAGCTGGTCTTTCAGAAACCGATTTCTCCAAGACAGCTGAATCCACTAAGTACTGTCCTAAGGTAATTGGCCTGAAAGAATATTGATGGTCCCTGGGAGAGGCTGAGTGGTCTTTGGCTTGTGGACATCTAGATTGGCAAGTGATTGGCAGGCTGACGTTACAATTGTTCTGCCTTTAATGCTACAGACCAGGTTCTCCAACTCCTCCCAGGATCCGTTCCTTGACTTGGACTCTCCACAGAGAGTTCCCAGACTTGCTTCATGCAAGGAGACATGATAGCTTCTGTAGCACATATATGTCTGAGATACATGTATGTATGATACATATATCATATGATATATACACATTTGCACTGTCTCGGGGGAGCAGAGCGCCCTCTGATTGTTGCTTACTTTGTTTTTATATGACATTGTGTATGCAGATTCTGCCTGTTCTAATTTCTCAGCCAGATCCAAAGCAGAAGACCATCTACGACCTTTTCCAGAGGACCTTCTCTGAAAGCAGAGATGACACTGATGATGTTTTGCTTTTGGAGGCAGCTGATGCTTGCGAGTTTGTCTCTGGCAGTGCCTTGCAAGACGCAGAAGGAGAGACAGGTTCAGTGAGTCCCCCCAAAAAGCGGCTTATTGAGGAGTTTTTTAAAGTGTAATGGTGACAGCAAAAGAGATGGTGGCTAAGACGTGTTTTGTATGAAAAAAGAGAAAACAATCAAGTATTATTTTTTGAGTTTTCAAAAATAAAAGACTAAGTTTTGTGTATCTCTAGTGTGTTTCATCTGGAAGGATGAGAAGGCAATCTGACAGTGTGACAGGTGAGCAGCGCACACCTGGCAGCCTGCATGTTTTGCCGTCCTGGTTTTGCTGATGACTGAGTGGCCATGGGCAAGTAGCGTCCTGCTTTGTTTTAGCACATCAGCCTCCACAGTTGTTTTGTTTAAAAAGCAGATATTGGTTGTCTGTCCACAGGGCAGAACTGTTGTGATAATTAACTTCTCAGCCACTGCAGAGTGCTTTTAGCAATCAGTTTTCCAAGAATTTTAGTCTGTATTTATAGAAGTCAGTTCACTGGCAAAATTTGGCCTTTACTTGGGTAACTCACAGGCTGGCGCTCTGGTATTCAGTTTGGCAGTGAAGAGAAAAGATCCAGACAGGTCTTGATGTTCTGTGGAGCTGGAGGAGAGGAGGGAGAGCCCCAGATTTTTGTCTGTGCAGAGCAGTCGGTACCATGAAACGAAGTAGTATTATCTGTCTGCCAGGAGGTGTGTATTGCCTTGTTAGGCGTAGGTCTGCCGGAGCACACTGATCCCTGGCCTCCTCTGCTAAATCTTAGGACCTGCTCCATGGCACATTCTGCTTGTGTTAGTGGAGAGTGAAGCTTGTGCTGACTGCCAGGGATTACACCTGGCTGCTCAGGAAGAGTGTGTGTGTTTTTTCTTCAAGACTCGAGACTGACTTCCACAGATGAGTGAGGAGCGGGGGACATGTGTGGACTTTAGCTCTTCTTTTGTAAGAAACCGATTCTGTACTGAACTGTTTAAATAAAAAGTTGTTTTAAATCATGGTTCCCAAGCTTTTGGTACTTTTTCTGTTTTAGAATTTGATCTCCCATTTGGACCTTAAGCTTGAGAAATATATGATGCAGTGGAAATATTAGTGGTTTTTAAAAATATTTACAATGGCTGAAAGGTAGGTCTTTTTGGGGACATTTCTTTTTGTGCTTTCTAAAATGCATCAACTTTCAAAAGGGGAACTCCCATGATACTTTGCTTATAGATGAATCAACAACTGCTCCCATAAGACGTTCAGGCTGGTACCCTAGGATCTGTTGTTTGCTCCCATTACAGCTCTGTGCAGGTTGCACTGAGAATGCCAAAAGCAGCACTGTTGCTTGATGCAGTGATTAAACTGCCTGTCTTCGATTTGTGATGGTCTCTGTCATCCTCTCAGCCCTGTGAACTGGACTCACAGCCTTGGCGCTGCCTGAGCAAAACCGCTTCTTGGCTCCTTTCAGGGGCTTGTGATACAGTTGCTGTCCCTTGGGCATGGCCTGATTCCACTTCACGGCGGTGATGCCTCTGCAAAAACTCTAGAGGCCACTTTGATGTGGGCTTGATGTAAAGGCAAATGGCTCTGTTTATCACAACCAATCTTTTCAGGCATCTCTGGCTGTTTTTCACTTTTTTGTGTATTATTGCCAGTGCAGTGTAGTGTGATGCCAAATTAATGGCTTTCACGCTTCTGGTCTTAGTACTAGAAGATACTTGGAAGTGGGGTAGTGTTAGCAAACGTGACCAGGGAGTACAGGAGAAGATACGGTTTCACAGAGGTACCAGTTAGCTATGTTTTACAGCCATAATCTGTAGCGAATGATGGGGGAAAAGCAAACTGAAGGCTTATGCTTAGCTTGTGGAGGCCAGGAGCTGACATGCTGTGCACGCAGTGTGCTTGGCGCTGTGCAGATGCCAGATGCTGACAAAAAGCCCTCTCCTCCATGGCTGAGGAGGAAAAAGGTTGTGCTGACAAGATCAACCTAATAACTGGGATACTCCTTCCTGCATTGAAGGGGTTTCATTATCCCATTTTCAGCAAGTGTCATCATGGAAATGCCTGACAGGCTGTGTATGCAATTGTGCTGGGTGGAGACTTGCTTTTCGTTCATGGCTGCAGGAGGCGCTTTGGTGTGCGTGCAGGTGGAGTAGGACCTCCAGCTGAAGGAAATGCTTGATATCTGGGTTTGAGACAGAGCTTCTCTTGCTCCAACGGCGGGCCAGGAGATAAGTACACACTTTTCGACACATTTAAATGTCTTGCTTCTTGACCACAGAGTACTTAATCTGTTTCTAGGAAACGTGATCTTTCTACTTGCAGAGAGGGTTGTTCTGAGTAAGGGGTGAGAAATGTTGCTGTCTGCCTAGTGAAAAAAAAATACGGAAGACATTATTTGTATACTTATATTGTCATCACCTTTAGGAGTAATCCTCTTCCTCCTTGTAAAGCTACAGCTACTTCAAAAGAGTACTTTTCTGAAATCTGCTGGAAGTACCCTTGGAGAATTCTGCTTCTCATAAACTCAATTTATATTACCCATATACTGATAAATCCCCACCCTGTTAGAGGAATACTAGGTGTACTCTTTCTTTGTTAGGACCCATAAAATCTCAGCTGGTTTGCTGCAGAGTTACAAAGGCTTTTCAAGAACACTTGAGATTCACTTTATCCTTACTGGTGAAAAAAGGGGGGGAGAATCTAGCAGGAAAGTGCTTTTAGTCATTAGCTCAAGAGATTGGAAAGACTGTGCAGGCCTTAGCCCAATTACACAATTAGTCTGTCATTAATATGATGAGGAGGTGGTTGGGAAGCCGCCAGCAGGCTCAGGCAGGATCTCCAAGGCTTGCTGATGGTAACTGGTACAAGGTAGCGTGGAGGTTGCTGGTGAGACCCCCCTGGCAGCCTCGGGAACATGCAGTGCCCCTGGGGACTCTTACGCCTGCCCCTGGAAGAGGGTGTAGCTGTAACTTCTTGGCATGACCTGAAGCCCAGTGGAGTTTAGGGAAGGACCCATCTTACTGGAGCTTGGAGCACCTTGCTGTGGCTGGATGCCTGCTTTATGCCTGCATCTGCTCTCACCCCTGTTAGAGACAGGCGTGTTTGCAGGAAGGATGCCAAACCAGGAACAACAGGTAAGGAGCAGTGACTTGGAGCCGTTCAAGCTGGGTCTCCAGCACATGAAGCTGGGGCATGCAGGAGAGCTCGAGGTGGTGAACTGTCGAGGCAAGGCCTTTGGAGCTGGGCTGGCCTGTCTGCACCCGTGCATCTTCCCAGTCACTTGGAAAGTACGCTGATTTCAGCGGTGCCGGGGATGGCTGTCGTCTGAGGGGGCTGGGGCTGGCTGCTGGCAGAGCTGTCTGTCGTGCTGGTGGATGAAGGGTACGACCACACGCCGCACTGTCGCAGCAAGCGTTACCTCTGTAGACACAGACTGGAGAGCAGCAATGGATTCTCTGTCCTGGATGTGTTGACTATTTTTTTTTTTTTAAACCGAATAATGACAAAGCAGTCAAAGGAACTTTTATCTTTTTCTTTTAATAAGTTGGTATCAAAGATGTATCCTGTGAGTCATCATTGTGATGAGGATCTGCAAAGGGCAAATATATTCCTAGGATGTATTGAATGAGGTTTGACGCAGCAGAGGGAGATATAAATGCCATTGCCTGAAGCCCTGCTGAGCCCTCGTCTGGAGCAGGGCTCCGGCCCACCAGCTCCCGGGAGGGCTGGCAGGGACGGTCGGGGAACAGGGAGCCTGGCGCGGCAGAGGGCATCAAAAACGTGGGTGTTCCAACCCCCAAGGCAAGAGCCAAGAGGGGATGCGGCCTCCGTCTGTGATCATGTCCAAAAGTACAGACCCCAGCCAAGAAAAAGCCAACTGCAGCCTGCTGTAGGTGACCCTGCTTTGGGAGGAGGGTTGGACTAGATGACCCACAGAGGTCCCTTCCAACCCCTACCATTCTGTGATTCTGTAACGCAGTGGCAGGGTATGCTCGAGTTCGTTAATTCCCTCTTATTTAAATAGGCTGCAAATGAGGAGGAGGGCTGTGGTGGGGCAAGGCAGCCAGGGTGGGCGCGGGGGGGAAAAGCCCCTCTGAAAAGCACCCGGGGATGGCTTGTTGGTGGGCTCGGCTCCCTCCTGGTGAGGGCCAATGAGCTGCAGCTGGCGCCGTGCATTAAAGAGCTCCCGGGCTAATGGGGTTACATTGCTTGCTGGAGGTTACTGGGCCGTTAGTGCCGTTCATCGTGCTGGGAGTGTTGCGGCGCTGGTACGTGTTTGGCTGCCCGTGACGGGCAGGAGCTGGGGTCTCCAGGGTCAGCCTCACGCAGCTGGTGGTCTCGGCAGTGTGTGACCTCACGGAAACCAGGTTGGTGCCGTGGTTGCACCTGACCAGCTTATCTGGAAACCCTTGGGTTTGGGGCTGGAATGGTAAGGGGGAATGGCTGTAAACTAAAAGAGGGCAGATTTAGACTAGATATTAGGAAGAAATTCTTCCCCATGAGGGTGGTGAAACACTGGAACAGGTTGCCCAGAGAAGCTGTGGCTGCCCCCTCCCTGGAAGTGTTCAAGGCCAGGTTGGATGGAGCTCTGAGCAGCCTGGTCTGGTGGAAGATGTCCCTGCTCATGGCAGGGGGGTTGGAACCAGATGATCTCTCAGGTCCCTTCCACCCCAAACCACTCTAAGATCCTGTAATTTCATCCTCATTGATTTTACATGTGGTTGGTTGGCTTGGTTGGGGTTTTTTTACCCCTTCCGCAGCTCCAGCCTGGTTCGCTGTG